GTCATTCACTTAGAATTTGGTTTCACCCTTGATTTAACGAAGAATAACTAGGCTCTCTGAATTTGTGGTCTGCCAGTTTGAGCAAAGTTAATAAGTTCCAACGCTCTAAAACCTATGAGCACTATCCTTAGGTTTAATTAGCTGCTTCAACAAAAATAGAATTAAGGCGGTTAAGGTTTTGCTATATTTCCACATACGTCCTAAGCGTAACAGAACCACGGAGCTCAGTTTTCTAGATGGAACCAAATAAACATTCTATATAAGTCTAAATACTTTTCTGTCACATTTTGCATACTTTCCATTGTACTAAGAAAAGGAACTTTTTGTTTGCTTGTGATAAACAAGGAAATCGAAGTTACGCCAAGACAGTAAAAAAGGCAGAAAGCCCTCTCGAGCTCAGAGCTAAGGGCGCTGGATTCTGAACACAGATAATTATATTTAAAAGTGACGAAAGGAAGAAAGGAAGGAAGGAAGGAAGGAAAGAATGAAGAAGAAGCGAAGGATTACTCATACCTACCAAAATCACTATAGCCAGTCCTTTAAAATGACAAGCAGACGCAGCTCATACTTACCACGAAAGAAGTACTCTGAAATGCTCATGCAGTAATTATTTTTGTCGAAGTCTTACCTGACAGTGTGGATCGAATGGAAAATATTTAGCCTGCGTCAAGTCAATTTGAGAAAAATGAGCGGATCAGTAGTTCATGCACGAAGCTCCTTTCCGCGAGAAAAAAATATTATTTACGAACTGTGTTCCAGGCTTTGTCTTACGTTTCCATGCGATTTTTCACTATCTTCTCAGTCCCAGCACGAAACTGCATTTGATTGTCTACAAGAAATTCAGGAGAATACCAGAGTTCGTTTACCTCAATTTCCCTTGATCGGTGCTTTTGTACGCAAAGTTCCGAACAATCAGTTCACGCGGACTTGGTTGACGAGAGGCGTTAGTGGTGGAAGAGAGAAAAAATGAAAGAACTTCGGAAAAACTGACTAATAGTAACATCAAGAGGAATATTGTTGTCAGCGTAATACTGCCAAAACTTCAGTAAGATAGACGGATAAAAATACGGATCCCGAATTTTTTCGCAAGGCTCTTAAAATGGCCAGGAGTTAATTCCATTCTATCAACAGACAATTGAGAACTAGTCTCCCACGAATTAACGTTCTCATCGTTCCTTAGCTCCACTCCTGACCGTTGTCGTTTCTCTTCCAACCAAATATGCTTTCATCTGGAATAATCTTCCACTCGAAATTAGGTTGTCGTCTACCTTAGCGGCTTTCGTAGCCAAATTACGTAAGCACTTAACTTTTGGTGATATTAAGTCCGTAGTGTCCGTCTCCTTCCCAAACACGCAACTTATTGACTTTGAAAACGGTCCTCCTGGTATTTGACCTGGTTCCCTTGATATACAATTGGTTTCTTAAAATATTTGCATTATTCTCTACGGAGTCGATCTCCGCAGTCGCTTTTCTTCCCCCTTCTTTTCACTATCCTCAGTTTTGGAACCCTGACGATAGACTTCGCGGTCTCTGTTGATGATCGTGGTGGGTGGCTTTGTTTTCGTGTCATCTTCTGTCACCTCGTCGTGTCCACCCTATTGCCCGCGATAAGGTCCTCTATCCGTCCTCTATTGTGCACAACAGATTTGAATGTTACATGATCTCTGCCACCCAAAGGAACGTTCCGAATCCCTTACGTTCACATCAACAGCACGATCCTATCTGGCTGCATCAAATGAATCTATCTGTTACGTTTTGAGAGAAGCAGTCTTTTCAACCTATACTTTTTTGAAACCACAGGCTCGCTGAACTCTGCCCTCAATTTCAAGTAGGAGTTTTTCACTGTTTCTTTCTTTGTTAACCAAACATTTTGAACTATTGTTTTAAATGACGTTCCGCTGTGAATCGGATGTAACGTGCTCTGCATACCATACTATTCCTTTCTGTCATTTATAAAGTTGCCTATACAGAGTT